CAATCTTAATTTCCAAGTTTTCATTTCTCTCTCAATTTTCCCAAGCTTGTCAGAATAATTAATGTCTACCATAGATTCTAGATGAACCTCAAATTTGATACCTAGAAGACCAAACTGAAATTAGTTCACTAGCCATATTTCGAGAATGCTGTTGGGTTTGTCGTAAAACAACATACAACACAAGAAGATGAAATCCAGAAAATTCTTTATGTTCATCAAATAGCTTCTTATAAAATGCCTATCAAGCATCTAACATACAAGACCGGGTATAAGCCAATCCGTACACATTTACTGGAAACTTCGCAGGCCCACTCTCCTTTGTTTTGCAACTCCAACAGGTAATTCAAAAGATCTCGGGTATAAGCCAATCCGTACACATCTACTGGAAACTTCTCAGGCCCACTCTCCTTTGTTTTGCAACTCCAAGAGGTAATTCAAAAAGATCTGTGCTTTAAGAAAATTGACCCCCGGACCAAAATGAGTTCCATCCAGACTCCGAATACCTTGAGTCAAGTTGAATGTATCGAACATCGGAACGTTATACTTCCCTACAAACCTCTCCATGTATCGGTTGTAGACTTGAGCATTTTCATTAGTTACTCCCCGAACAAGCTCTGTTCGCCAGAGTCCGAAACCACTAAACCCAGACCACAGCAATTTGGGCCACTTCCGTGTGGTGTTGCTTTTCACAGAGTCTATGATCGCTCTTGCAAAATTGGAGTTATCCGTTTTGTTGAACATCCGCCATAGACCACTCCCAAACAAAACCAAAGATTTGGGCGTATCCAGTATGTTTTTCAGCTCGTTTGTCATGGTTTTACCTCCCATATCAAGCCGACCACAAAACAAGAATTTCGCCTTCACTGTTCCGTTGCAGAGTCTTGGGGAGTAGTCCAGGTTAGGACGACATTTCTGAAAAGGAAACACGTTTTTCCCTCCACACTCTTGTTTCATCTCTGAAAAGTAAAAAAACAAACATAATTTGCAGAGTCACTACAATCTTTGACTGGCGTGCATATGGACTGACCATTTAGTGTTCTGTATTTAAATTTGTCTCATTATTTCAAGGCATAAAGTGTTTTCTGAAAATTGGATATGGATATATTATATACTCATGCCAATAATGGTTGTCACCCCCTTCAATTGTTTTATTGGTGAGGGGGTGGGGTTGGGAAGGGAGGTGACAACCATTATTGGCATGAGTATACATGAATATATTTTACTTTAAAAAATGATATTGAGATTCTGTGTATCCGATGATAGACTTTACTTTTGTGAGCAGATGCAATGCATCAATTAAAACATTGTCCTAACCCCTGCTCATTAACCAACACTCGTCGACCCCGACCCCACCTTCAGAGACCAGAGAGTTTGAAACCCAATTTTCTTTCCTTTCAAAACCAAACTGGATAGATTTTTTTAAAATTATAAATCCGGAAACAGTGAAATTTGTTTACATTGTTCTTCCCACTGAGAAGGCCTCAATTAACATAACCGTTCTATGTAAGTATCACTACATTAATTGTTTTGATCAAAGAAGTGGGCCTCAGTGCCATATCAAATAACCCCACGTATGAGACAAGTACGTTAAAGGAGAAAGAAAATTTCCGATATCACTTGTCAGTTCTCTGAGATTTTGCCTCGACTCCTGAAGCTCCATACAGACACAGACACATATCTTGCTGAATTCAGCAACTATACCAAGAAGTCCCTGTCTCCAATATTAACTAGAATCCTTACTCCAACCAATGATAACTTTTATTTAAATTCACAAAAAAGTATTTAAGACAAGTTCAAGTTGCTGTGCTCCCATGAGCATTCTAAAATATCGAACTATTTGCTATATATGTGTAAACAACCAGAAAATAATAAAGTTCAATTCTATCAAAACATTTTATTTTATTTATTTATTTATTTTATTTTTTGTTCTTTGTATGCTACTGTTCCACATGCCAAACTTAAGGGAAAACTGAATATTCCATGATCCATGGGGTGTTAATACTGACCATAGATGCAACAACATAGCTATCCTCAGAGGTTCAGGACAATATGTCAAAGAAAGACACAAATACCATGAAAAGATATCTAGACTCTCCTTGATAACATCTATGCAATAGTTGTAAGACGTTTAGAAAAGAAGCAGTCATCCCTATGGGGAACAGTTGTGCTTCCCTTCTTGCTCTTTCATACCACTGAACAATAAACATTTTCTGTTTCACAACGATATTCACCGCGTAGGGTGTTCGCCTGGTGAATATATAATCAGAGACTGTTGAAGTTATAGGTGAGGTGAGGTGAAATTTCGCTCATATGCATGCGTATGTGTATGTGCGGCTGTTTGTACTAACCAAGACTGAAGCTGGTTTTATAGTGCTAGCCCACCGAGATACCATGCCGCAGTGAAGCATGAATACCCCACTCAGACACATTATATTGACTCCGAGCCGACCAGTCCTTGTTGTACCAATTAATGCCGAGCGCCAGGCAGGGACCAACAAGTACCATATTTTAACTTCTTTTGGTATGACGCGGTCGGTGATCGAACCCGCGACCTTCCGCTCTCCGGGCGCACGCTCTAACCACTACACCACGGAGGCGGTCGTTGAAGTTATAGTCTAAAGCACATGCTCTCAAGCGTATAGGACAGAAGGTTCTTTTTGTTCGCAATTGCGTAGATCGATGCTAATGTTTTAGATCACTGGATTGCCTGGCCCAGACTCGAATACTTACAGATCCCCCGCCATATAGCTGGAATATTGCTGAGCGTGGCTTAAAACATACAAACAAACAAAGATCTCTCGAGATATCATGTACCTATAGGCATACACATTCAATCATTGACGGTTGTAAAAATGCACACGTCTATAGAGTTCACCAACACAACAGCAGCCTTCATTGTTGTTTTCTGTTTATTTGAGTCAATCAATCTTTATTTGAGTGCTAAGGAGACCGCATGCCTATAGTACATCTCATATATACAATTTCCTTATCATCATGGTTTGATAAATAAAAGCCGCAACATTATGAATTACAATTTCATTTGAACAATTCAATAGAGAAGAAAATCAATTGATGGATGGACAAAATAGAATTCCTTAATATATTTTTGTGCGTATAGTAATATTTCTTTTTTATTTTGACGTTTTTATTTCCCAGTACATGTTTACATGATATTATAATTGGGAATAAATAGATGTTCGCATATACAAGGCATACATAAATAGATGCTATTGACAGGTTTGACATGGGCCTTAGTTACATTGACCATTCTTTCTTTGCAGATATTACATATAGATAAGTAGGCATAACTACATAATACATAAGTTGGCATCGGTACATAATGTTGTTTCGTATTGTATATGAGTTACAACCTGTGTATGTTTGACTGCATCTGGTAACATGCAAGGTACAAATCATTTAACATTCCCCATTATTTCTCAACAGATATTTGCATGTACATAAATATACATATTACAGTGTATAAAGACGTCTACTGCATGTTTGACTGTTTCTAATCACCTGCAAGGCATTAATCATTTTAAACATTAAAGTATACTCTTTAAAGCTTATAATTAAATATTGAGCTACAAGTCTAAAAATAGCGTGTGGAAAGAGGACCAAAATGTGAACACTTTGGACTCATTGTTGTTTGTAATGGCAATGAATTTACATGCTTGATAGTAACTTAATATTTCTTTTTGGATGATTTTAAAATTAGGTTTTCTCCCTTTTCTGCTCATATTGTTAATATTTTGTTTCACCATGAGACACATTGCATTAAGTGGATTAATATTTCTCCCCTTAAAATCAAAAATAATATTTTCTGGTGTTAAGTCAAGGTATGCTTCAGCCAACCTTTCTAACCATTTAGCCATCTCTTTCCACACTTTGCTTGAGTGGGTACAATCGCATAATAAATGTATAACACTCTCAGGCACCTGTTTACAAAACGAACACATAGGTGAATCAATGTAACCAATCTTATACAAGTTATTATCAGCTATCAGAATATTCTGAGTTATCTTATCCTGAAACCATTTTAGATTGACGCTTTGAGTACATCAATCAGCCATCAAATTAATGTTTTCCCATTCCTTCTGTTGTAAGTCTTTATCCAATATTTCTTCCAATTTTAATTGGCCATTTGTTTTATTAAAACACAATTGACATAGTGTTTTATAGAACTGTTTGCTACTAACTATTTTGGAGATGTTATAAGGTAAAATAGGGTGGGCAAGTATGTTCTCCACATGTTTAAATGTGAAACTCCTCTGTTTTATATATCCAGTAATTGATCTTTTAAGTCCTTGGTATGTAAGAAAATCAACATCCATATCATATTCCAAAGACAGTATATTACCGTCCACATTTACTACATTTCTCAAGTATGTTATTCCCTTTTGTTCCAAGTTCATGTGATAGACTGTTTTGCCACCGATCAAAATATTGTTATTATGCCAAAGGGCTTGATTTAGGACCTCTGTATTATTAATATCATTCTGATAACAAATTGTTAAATAGTCAGTCATTTTCTGTGCTTGTAGAATTGTCACATAACAGTCTTTTAATCCATGCAAGTTTTGGGGATTTTATTTTTTACTATTGGAATATTGAAACCCCCATATTAAAAAATGGTAGTAGTAACCTTTCTTTTAATTTTATCCTTTTTTCCCTTCCAAATAAAATTAAAGCATTTCTTCTGAAAAGATCGAATCGTATCCTCTCGTGGGCTTGGTATAGATGAGAAGAGATGATTTAATTTTGACAGTAGTAGTGATTTCAGCACAACATTTCTTCCCATAGGTGTTAACAATCTTAATTTCCAAGTTTTCATTTCTCTCTCAATTTTCCCAAGCTTGTCAGAATAATTAATGTCTACCATAGATTCTAGATGAACCTCAAATTTGATACCTAGAAGACCAAACTGAAATTAGTTCACTAGCCATATTTCGAGAATGCTGTTGGGTTTGTCGTAAAACAACATACAACACAAGAAGATGAAATCCAGAAAATTCTTTATGTTCATCAAATAGCTTCTTATAAAATGCCTATCAAGCATCTAACATACAAGACCGGGTATAAGCCAATCCGTACACATTTACTGGAAACTTCGCAGGCCCACTCTCCTTTGTTTTGCAACTCCAACAGGTAATTCAAAAAGATCTCGGGTATAAGCCAATCCGTACACATCTACTGGAAACTTCTCAGGCCCACTCTCCTTTGTTTTGCAACTCCAAGAGGTAATTCAAAAAGATCTGTGCTTTAAGAAAATTGACCCCCGGACCAAAATGAGTTCCATCCAGACTCCGAATACCTTGAGTCAAGTTGAATGTATCGAACATCGGAACGTTATACTTCCCTACAAACCTCTCCATGTATCGGTTGTAGACTTGAGCATTTTCATTAGTTACTCCCCGAACAAGCTCTGTTCGCCAGAGTCCGAAACCACTAAACCCAGACCACAGCAATTTGGGCCACTTCCGTGTGGTGTTGCTTTTCACAGAGTCTATGATCGCTCTTGCAAACTTGGAGTTATCCGTTTTGTTGAACATCCGCCATAGACCACTCCCAAACAAAACCAAAGATTTGGGCGTATCCAGTATGTTTTTCAGCTCGTTTGTCATGGTTTTACCTCCCATATCAAGCCGACCACAAAACAAGAATTTCGCCTTCACTGTTCCGTTGCAGAGTCTTGGGGAGTAGTCCAGGTTAGGACGACATTTCTGAAAAGGAAACACGTTTTTCCCTCCACACTCTTGTTTCATCTCTGAAAAGTAAAAAAACAAACATAATTTGCAGAGTCACTACAATCTTTGACTGGCGTGCATATGGACTGACCATTTAGTGTTCTGTATTTAAATTTGTCTCATTATTTCAAGGCATAAAGTGTTTTCTGAAAATTGGATATGGATATATTATATACTCATGCCAATAATGGTTGTCACCCCCTTCAATTGTTTTATTGGTGAGGGGTGGGGTGGGGTTGGGAAGGGAGGTGACAACCATTATTGGCATGAGTATACATGAATATATTTTACTTTAAAAAATGATATTGAGATTCTGTGTATCCGATGATAGACTTTACTTTTGTGAGCAGATGCAATGCATCAATTAAAACATTGTCCTAACCCCTGCTCATTAACCAACACTCGTCGACCCCGACCCCACCTTCAGAGACCAGAGTGTTTGAAACCCAATTTTCTTTCCTTTCAAAACCAAACTGGATAGATTTTTTTAAAATTATAAATCCGGAAACAGTGAAATTTGTTTACATTGTTCTTCCAACTGAGAAGGCCTCAATTAACATAACCGTTCTATGTAAGTATCACTACATTAATTGTTTTGATCAAAGAAGTGGGCCTCAGTGCCACATCAAATAACCCCACGTATGAGAAAAGTACGTTAAAGGAGAAAGAAAATTTCCGATATCACTTGTCAGTTCTCGGAGATTTTGCCTCGACTCCTGAAGCTCCATACAGACACAGACACATATCTTGTTGAATTCAGCAACTATACCAAGAAGTCCATGTCTCCAATATTAATTAGAATCCTTACTCCAACCAATGATAACTTTTATTTAGATTCACAAAAAAGTATTTAAGACAAGTTGCAGTGCCCCCATGAGCATTCTAAAATATCGAACTTTTTGCTATATATGTGTAAACTCTCAGAAAATAATAGAGTTCAATTCTATCAAAACAATTTTATTTTATTTATTTATTTTATTTTTTGTTCTTTGTATGCTACTGTTCCACATGCCAAACTTAAGGGAAAACTTAATATTCCATGATCCATGGGACAGTTTTTAATATTGACCATAGATCAATAGCATAGCTATCCTCAGAGGTTCAGGACAATCTGTCAAAGAAAGACACAAATACCATGACAAGATATCTAGACTCTCCTTGATAACATCTATGCAATAGTTGTAAGACGTTTAGAAAAGAAGCAGTCATCCCTAAGGGGAACAGTTGTGCTTCCCTTCTTGCTCATATGTTTCTTTATGCATGGAGTCGGGATTTCTGTCCAATTTGGCAAATAGGAAAAGGGCAATTTGGCAAAGACGTCTAACTTCAGGTACTTCCATGATCTAATATCGTTCAATAACAATGAAATAACCAATTCCCTCATTTAGCCGCCTCAACTTGAAACAAATGAGAAGATCTATGATCTATGCATTAAAATTCAGAGGGAAAACATCGAAAATGCTCCTTTACACGAAGATTTCAAAGAACACCATACGACTCTTAAGTTACAACATTCAAGGTCTCCAATAAGCATTTTTATAGGTCCCAGCGGTGGTAAAGGATTCGCTAACACCTGGTATCACCTTTATTTTACAGGGATTCATAAAACCATGCTCATAGCTAGACCCGTGTTTAATGTTCTTCTTGGGGCTATTCTTTTTTTTTGACTTAGGTTTTAATTATGTGTTTGTTTACAATACATACTGATAGTTGCATTAGGTGCCAGTCCGCCATGTCGATAGTCTCCCTTGACGATAATGATGAAGGCCAAGAACATCTGCCGGACGAGAGAGTCGCCATAGAAGTGGAAAGTTCCTCCCTTGAGAAGTTCACACGCAGATTTGGACGTGAAGTTTTTCACTTGGCATCTGGAATAATTTACAAAATATTTATTAATGAAATATACACACAGAACTTTAAGCACCCCCTGACATATCTCACGATTCAACGAGGTAACCCTTTGGAGCACATCTGGGACATAATTGGTCGTCGTGGCCAACAAAGGGATCCTCCTGTACAGAACCCGACCCAGTTGGAAGCTGCTTTACACGAAGAGTGGCGTAGACTGCCCTTTCAGAGGATCAGGAGGCTGACAGTGGGTATTAGGAGGAGAGTGCTGGCTGTCATACAGTCACATGAAAGGTTACACTCGGTATTGACCTTGATTCGTGTAAGACACGCAAAATGGCATTTTTGAATGTTTACATTCACCAATAAATTCAACATAAACATTCCAGGGCAAAGCCGATTTCTTGACGTTTTGAATAACATTAGTATTGACGGAAATTAACTCATTTCCATATCATTTGGTTATATTTACATGTATGCCAAGTTTGGAACTATTATAGAAATGCTCTCATTTACATCAGTGTCCATACCCGTCCATTATCCTGGCAAGAGCATTAACCTTTGCAACCGACAAAAAATACATTAAAATGTCAGGCGTTTTTCATGTTACGTGTCTTTTTAACAATATAATATTGCAAAGTATATACCTTTTCGGGATATTATAATTTGGGATAGTTTCTCAACTGGTCACATAACTTGCTTCCAAGATATTTACATTGGCGTAACGTCTCAGTAGTCGGCTGAGATCGCACACGTGACAACTATTTCCATGTGGTCCACGTTTAAAACACTGAGATAGCTAGACTGCACAATGGCATTTAGAAGGGTCAAATGTAACATGTGATGTCAATCAATTGCGCTACAACTTATTTGAAGTGAAAAAGGGGGGCAATTCAGTCAGGACAATTGCCACCCTGCTTTGATTGTGTATCTATCCATATCTTGAGAGCAAATTATCAAGCTGCAATATTGAACAACTGTCTGGAAGCTGAATATCCAACTCCACGGACAACAGATGGTCATGGATGAGTGAAATAAAATGGTCACATAGAGATTTGCTGGACGATGCTGTTCTTGAGTTCATTTCTAGCAAGTGCACAACGGTCTGTAAACTGCCATGTTGTCAGTGCCTTACCAATGGACTGAAATGTACTGAGACATGTCGGAACCAGACTTGTGACAACATGGTATGCGAGGACCATGACAAGCCGAAGAGTGACACTGATGATGAAGCTGATGTTTATGATGCGGAACAGTGACTATCACTACATAGTTTAAGACACTTGAAGGTGTTCTCACTCTTTGAAAGCTGTCTTCAGAATAAATGAAATGATGAGTTTTCGAAAACGTTCTTTGAACTTATCAGTTTTGACTCTTACAAAATCAGGAAAAATATCAAATAACACTACTTGATAATAATTAAATCTTTTGATCCTGCTTGCACCATTTTACCTCCTTTTTTCATTTCCAACCTATTTGCTGAACCTTACTGGGAACTGACATTTTATTTAAAACAAATTCTTTTCTTGTTTGTTTTGTTTTTTTTGTAATTTTGGTTTTTTGGGTTTTTTTCTTATTTTTTTTGGGGTGGAGGGGGCATCCTGGATTCAGCCTCGTTCTGAGTTTGAGCTACCAAATTGACATGTCAATCATACTTGAATAGAGACATAAAGGAATAATATATAAACACTAAAACTTTTAGTCCGTCTGTGCGGTACCAATATGTCAATTTTCAGCTCATTGCTCGTGACCTAATATTTGGGATTACACTTTCTCAGTAAAGTACAGATACTAGGACTTTTGGGGTTGAGTCCCATCAGTCGGTCAACTAGTAGTCTAGACCACGGACTTTGTTTTTCCCCGGCCCCGGGACTGGGCAGCTCTCTAACTTGGCAGAATTTCTGCAATCCAAACAATGGGAGAAAAAGAAAGGTAGGTGCCCATGAGGTAGTTCTAGTCTGCTAATAAAGCATCTCAGCAGGTTTCAGGATTTTCTTATGCGTGGGTGGTATGATGACTGATCCAATTTGATACTATTTTTATGTTTTTACCTCGATATTTATTCATGTCATGTAACGATATGATGATTATTGACGTATGGTACTTGTATTAAAACATTAACCATTGCCATTCATTTGCCATTGCTAAAAAAATAGGTGAATACAGTATTTTCTAACATCCGTACAGAGCAAATGTTGTATTTCTTATGCAGCAATTAAGCCATTACATCTTGTTCGGCTTGACCTGAGCTACTCTACATATGCATGACCCGGGAGGTCAAATGGCACAAACGGCAGGTCGAGTAAACTTCATGAAATAGGGGAGCAGGGAATGTTATTAATGTTGCTGCTCCCTGCCTAAAAGTTCGAATCGGAAACATTAAAACATCTGTAGCTTCTATTTAAAGAAAGTTAGGACATTGCTGACAATTTCTCGGCACTGAGATGTTAAACGGCGACCTTGTCTCGGCTGTTTGGACATGTTGACAATCAACTGACAAAGGTGCACCCCTTCACAATAATAGACCCAAACAGTTGTGACTCGGTCACGCAATGCGTTAGTATTCACTTTATCAGATCAAACTGTACAAGTTGTACCTCTCCCTTTTTGTGTCTGGAGTAAGTACTCAACCTTATGAATTAATGTCTTACGTCGAAAATCTATTAAATGTTAATTATGCGCATTGAAGTGCGGGAAGAGTGTTAAAAAAAAGTCACAGGATTAACCGATAACATTTCTATTGATTAATAACTTTTATCTTGTGATGAAATATGATTCACTTAGTTAAACTACAAAATGTCTTGATATTACAGTCATTTCATAAATTCCCTAAGGACAGATCGTGTACTTTTTATGAGGTTCCAAGGTGCTAAAGTGCATAACAATATGATAATAGATTCATCATGCTAGGATTATGAGGCAAAAATATAAAGACGTACATTGACTTCGTTTTGTACCACTGGCAGATGAAGTTATATTTTCATTTATATCATGAATATGAATATGGAAATATTAATGGGTTACAAAGATGACTACATATTCCAATGAAATGAAAGACGAGACAGTATTTCGTCTTTGTTGATCAATGTAAGGATGAGCCCAAATACTAAAAATTGTGCTTGCTTGTGGCGCAGCAGAGATCGCACTTCGTAAATATTTGTGGTATACGCTTTCTATTTTAATCGATGGTGTAGTGGACACCTTAATCGTCAACAAGCAGTTACTGCTTTTAACTAATAAACTTTAACTTAATACAGTTAATTAAGATGCAAACAAACAAAGATTATCTCTGTCTCTATCTCTATCTCTATCTATCTCTCACTCTCTCTCACCGTTTATCGTCAGGAATCCACTTTGAATACTCAGCATGTTTTTGAGTTCGAAGGTCATAACATCCATCACAAACACATTCGCTTGTAGTTTTCTTTTGTCACACGTTGTCATAGCAACACGGAGTACTTCCTCTCGGTTCACACAACACCCGAAACCATCCTCCTTCTTTACGTTTGACCTTCCAACCAAAGTACGATATGTTTCCACACTTTTTATCTGGCCTCTCAAATGTACCCTTTAGCCCCAAAATGTAAATTGCTTTACGTAAGTATGTTTCGATTTCGTCTTCCTCTTCTTCAGATATTGATCTGGTTAACCACATGCCTGCCATCATGTGTCGTAATACACTTGGACATGATGGGGATGGAACTTCAGACCGGAAGGATACATCAGTATGCGTTGGCCGTTGAAGTACAGTATATATCACCACAGCCGTGCAATACAGGCAAAAGAGAACAACAGTCTTCTGCATTGCCCCCATGGGTGTCTTTAAAGAGAAAGAAAGGGAAAAGCAATTAGACATAACACAGACACATTTGTGGACAGAAAAAATGATTTGAATTAAATGCTGTATTGACATCTCGATTGAGAGATTTAATCAGGACAAATGCAAAGTTAATTCACACGGATATAAATTACCTGAACTCTGTAAAAACAATAACATGTAAATTGTTAACAGCAGAATTGGAGCAGACAATGGTGTTGATGAAGTAACCTGTAAAGGAGTCAGTTACTCATTACTCAGTTGCAAGCGCAAATGTCCAACGAGGGTATCCTCCCATTACGCAGACAGGCAGTTGGCAGACGCCTCAAAACAACGTTTACGGGTCAATGCACAAAATAGCTACTACCTGTTACCTACACATTATAATGGAAAAGTCCAAATAAAACCACAAGAAAACAAATGAAGCTATGTTATTTACTTTGATAGGTGGCCGAAAAGACATAAATATGAATTTTGATTGCTGCAATATATAAACATTGATTTTCATAAACATTTTGGGTTTTATCTTCTCGTCTGACCGGAGTTGGCATCCATGGGATAGACGTTTGATTGAAAAAGTCAATGGATTAGAAAACTCCATCTTGAAGCAGCTCTCATAGTTACTGGTCCTCCATGATCTGCATCTTCCAGTTCGTTGTATTTAGAAGTAGAAGAAAATGGGGTTAACGTTATTATGACATGGGATGGGATTTACTTTCTGAGAAAAGAATAGGATGCAAATTAACATCATTTCATAAAATTCAAAAAGGTCTTGCACCAGTTGTTCTTCAGGATTTACTGGCACCTGTACTAGGCAATCGGACAAGCTATGATTAAAGAAACTTCGATAACTTTAGCCAACCATGTACAAGACTGAGGTACGCAACAGCAGTTATTCCATCTGCAGTTAAAATATGGAAAAATATTCCTTTAGATATCGGAAATTGCGACTCTGTTGCATCATTTAAATCTTATATCCACGTGAAAGACAAAATAAATATTATTCATATGGAATAAGGAAGTGTGTGTCATTTTTTCACACTGTTGAAGTGTTCCGACATTTTGTCCTATGCTATTTTGTCCTTTGGGAGTATGTCCGGATGGGATTTTGACCTACCCTCCAAACTTCTCAGTAACGAACCCATTTCAGGCTCACCCTACTCTAGGCAGTGGTGAAGTGGGGTGAAATTCGGTTTAACGTCGTGCTTGAGAATATTTCGCTCATATGACGACGTGCATGCGTGTGTATGTGCGTCTGCTTGTATTAGCCCAGACTTAGGCTGGTTTTATAGTGCTAGCCCACTGGGATACCATGCCGCAGTGAAACATAAATGCCCCACTCCGAGCCGACCGAGCAGACCCATAATGCCAAGCGCCAGACAGGGACCAACAAGAACCATCATTTGGCATGACGCGGTCGGGGATCGAACCCGCGACCTTACGCTGTCCGGGCGGACGCTCTAACCACTACACCACGTAGACGGTCCTTCTAGGCAATGCAATGATCCATAATACCCGCAAGTGTTTCCCTAATTAACGTTCTATATCTAGTTCAGTGTCTGTCAATTGGGAGATAGCCCCAAAGAGATATGAAAAACTTAAAAGGGAACGACTGTAATGAGCGACTTAAGTTTTACCATGGGCGAGGTAGTTTAAATTTTGAGTTTTCGAAAAAAATCATTTTTCATGTTTCAGCCTCAGCATATATTCATGACACCTGCGTGCTTATTTTGGTCAAATCCTTTGTCAAAAAGTGGCTACAGTGCAGAGAGTTTCTGCACTTTTGTGAGCCCAGAATTGAAGTGTGACGTGTTCAATAAACATGTGACAAATCAGAAGGTATTCTCCCAAAACGCAGACCCGTTAAAACAACACTTGTTATGGTTGGTTGCATCCGTGATTAGTAGGCTGTACCCTTGATTAAGAAAAATGGTATCACCCATGTACCAACGAGCTTTGACAATGTAGCAAGTGATCCCTTATTTCGTCAATATTTATTTAATGAATAATATTAAAGGTTTATTTTTCATCTTTGCGATATGATAAGAATAATATTTTATTTTATCAGAAACATGGTATACATATTTCAAAGGTTTATTATCACGTGATGGCTGTGACCAGGAGGGGAATGCTTATTTTGGAAACTATATTCCTGATCATAGTCATGAACATTATACTGTTTGTGTCAGTGGGATGCATATATTGGAAACTATATTCCTGAACATAGTTATGAACATTATACTGATGGTGTCAGTGGGATGCTTATATTGGAAACTATATTCCTGAACATAGTCATGAACATTATATTGATTGTGTCAGTGGGATGCTTATATTGGAAACAATATTCCTGAACAAAGTTATGAACATTGTACTGATTGTGACAGTGGGATGCTTGTATTGGAAACCACATTCCTGAATATAGTTTTGAACATTATACTGATTGTGTAAATGATGAACTGTCTTATGATATAACAGCAGTAGAAATTATATCTGCAATAGACGATGCTAAACTGAATAAGTCACCAGGAGACGACGGTAATCCAACAGAAATTTTAAAGAAAATTAAGGATACAATTGCATCCTACCTTGCTTTATTGTTTTCACAAATATTATGTATAGGTCATTACCCAGCTGCATGGAGTACTGCTGTTATGATACCTATATGTAAAAAGGGAAGTAATAATGAACCTTTGTGTAAATTATTTACATCTATCATAAACAAGAGAATTAATACCTTTGTCGAGTATGAATGTAATTGGTGAATACCAAGGGAGTTTTAGAAAACATCATTCGACAGTTGACAACATATTTATTCTTCAATCTATTGTTTAAAAGCATATAACTCGAAGAAAAGGCAGATTCTTCTGTGCTTTCATGAATTTCAAGAAAGCGATCGATTTGGTTAACCGAAATAAATGACTTTATCTTCCTCTTAGAAATGGTATCCATGGAAAAATATTTCGTGTTCTTCAACATTTATATGACAACGTGAAGTCTGCTGTAGATGACGGCGAAGGGAGAAAACTATCCGATTATTTTCATCGTCCCACTGGTGTTAGACAAGGATGTCCACTTAGTCCCTTGTTGTTCTCCATATATATCAAAGTGTGGATTCACTTAATTAGGGGTGACCAACATGGCCCAATTAATTAGTGAGCTATTTTTATTTGCATTTTGGGAGAGCTGCGTTATGGGAGTAAACCATTTAGAAGGATTCTGACTATCTGCCTATTGTTATTTGGTTTTGTTGTTTTTTTCATTGTAAGCAAGGAAAGAGGTCAGAAATGCCGATAACCGTTGTTGTTCTGCGTGATTTTATCATAAACCTTGAATTGTATTGTATCTTTCTTAATTTCCTAATTCTATTTTGCTACGATACTCTTTCCATGTACATTAGAAACGCACTGGGCCAATGCATGCAAACAAATGGACGTCTGAAATTTTAAGAAAATGTTATACGGTATAAATACTGAATCGTTTGTTTACATTTACAAAAAGCACAGCGTTCGTTTTCACATCTAATATTTCATTATCAGATTTTAAACTTTATAAACTTACACCCAAAAACGTTTCTACCAGTTTCCCCACACACCAACAAGAATGTAGCCATGTTGACATTACTTGAAACATCAACCTTATCCAGGTCTCGTCGTACCAACCTTAAATTTGCATCCTATCAAAGGCGGGTTCGTCAACGGGACGTCAACCTTAGCAAAGGTCTAAAGTTAAAACTTAAGAAGACAAGGTTGTTGTTGTTGTTATTTGCTTTACTAAACGTCGCACGCACAACTAAGGTATTTCGGCGACGGGGTAGTACACTTAGTAAGAAATGAGAGAGGACAATAAGTAGAAATTTTGAAAAGTGGCGTTACTACTAAAAAAATTAAAAAACCAAACAAACCAAAAAAACCCGAAAAACTAAGTATTAAGGGAAATTTAAACGGGAGACCAAAGTAAAAGGTAATAAATACGAAATAGGTTGAGAGTAATAGAGATTTGGATTTTATTATAAGTGTAGTGTAATAAATGGTTATTGTTATTGTGATTGTTTTTTAACAATAGATAAGGTAATCGTAGCGCTGGTTTAGTCTCTATTCGCCTACATCTCAATTCGCCTTCATTCCATTTCGCATACAAAAACAATGTAGGCTAATTGGGATTAGAACATCCCACCCCCACCCCATGGTACTACGAAACATAGACATAATTTCACTTTGAATATCTTATAATTATGCTTCCCTTGATACATTTTCACAAAATGAACCATACTAAAGTTACATTTACAAATGGATTTGAATAACCGATAAACTTAATCATGATTTGGACCAAATAAAGCTTCACACCTGTGTGAAATAGCAATCAAACTGACCCTTTGATTTTACAACACGGTATTACTCCAAGGTTATGTCACATGAGATAACTAAACTTCATTCATCAGGTTGTTTATGTCAGGCCGTTCACTTACTGATTGGATAACTTGAAGTGATTAATCTGTAGTTTGCTTGCTAGTATAAATGTCACTGCAATTGCTTGTTTGTTTTTTTAACTTGAAAGAATGAATAGGGGAATGCAAAGAAAAAGTAACTTGTTATTGTTTTTTTTTCAGCAAAGCTGATGATGAGGAGTCTGGAGAGTGTATAATGACCAAGGATGGTCAGCAGGAACCTGTGAAGGTAGTTTTGACCTATCTGTAGTGACTTTCATTATAAATAGTAAATTATTTCCAATTAATAGTGTAGAGACAAGGTTATTGGATGTCAACTCCTTTATTATATGAAAACATGTTTTAGAGTGAATGCTCACCCCTTCGTCAGGTGTAAGCATTCACCCCGAAACATTGTGTTTTCCCGTAATAAAGACGTTGACATCCATAAGCATTAATGTCTTGTATTATTCTAAATGCGCCTCAAAGACTTAATGGTGTAAACATACAGTCTCTACTGGGTGAATTTCCTAATTCTATTTTGCTACGATACTCTTTCCATGTACATTAGAAACGCACTG